TCAGCTAGCTCTCCTTCATCAGCTAGGGATGACTGCAGGCAAGGAGAGTCCCCAGACTGATGACACCACGGGGGGAAGGAAGGATGCATTTATACAGAAAACAAGAGATGAAAGAAAATAGATGATTGCTTAGATTATTCTAAGCCCTAGTGTATGTGAGCTCCAATTACCCAGATAATCATGTTAGGAAGTAGTCTTTATATCATAATTACAGGCTGAATGTTTCCCAGTCTTTATCTGTTACATGTATTTGTGTCTGGACTCATTATCAGTCAGATCTTACACTGTCTCAGAGCCTTCAGCACCACCACAATGGCAGAGCATCCCATACCATGCACAGAGAACTGCAGCAAACTGAAAGCAAGCCATTTCCTTGAGGTTTTGCACAAAGGTTTGCTCTCCAAGTCCCAAACTAAGCACTTGAATCATGAAATTATGCACTTCATGTAGGTGCTCCAGTTAAGTCCCTGAAGTTAAGTAGAATGATTCTGAGCCACTGTGAAAATGCTTCATTTTAACACATATAAAAAATTAGTTCATATGAAAGAGGGAGCAGCCAACCCCATATTGACCACATCTGTGGTAGCTAGACCCTACCTTTGGTTCACATCATTCCATATTCTCTTATCATTGGGTCTCACTGCAGAGCTTATTACATTGTAAGGACAAGTGAGGTTCTGTAGAGAGCACTGGAGGGTTTTCTGGCTATCAGTCAATGAGGAGGTTAGAACTTCAAATATTTGCTAATTAGGTCTTGCATACTGGCTGGAGTTTGCTTGAGTTTAATTATTATAAACTGTTAGCACTGTTAGTTCTCCACTCCTAAAAATTGGCCAAACTTCAGGTAAAAAGAGGAAACAACCTGAGCAAAAGGGCAATTTATACTTTATAGGTATTAAAACTGAATAAATGTTAATAAGCCGCTGCCAAAGAAGTATGCAAACATAGTGATTGCCCTTGAAATCCAATCTGTTACACTTAAAACAGAGGAAACAAGTGTATTGGGTTTGCATGGCCAGGTTTTGGTAGCGGGGGGGCTATAGGGGTGGCTTCTGTGAGAAGCTGCTAGAAGCTTCCCCTATGTCCAACAGAGCCAATGCCAGCTAGCTCCAAGATGGACCCACCACTGGCCAAGGCTAAGCCAATTGGTGACGGTGGTAGCACCTCTGTGGGAACATTTTAAGAAGGGGGGAAAAAAACCTGCGCAACTGCAGCCAGAGAGAGGAGTGAGAATATGTGAGAGGAACAACTCTGCAGACACCAAGGTCAGTGGAGAAGGAGGGGGAGGAGGTGCTCCAGGTGCTGGAGCAGAAATTCCCCTGCAGCCCGTGGTGAAGACCCTGGTGAGGCAGGCTGTGCCCCTGCAGCCCATGGAGGTCCACGGTGGAGCAGCCTGTGGAGGACCCCATGCTGGAGCATGTGGATGCCCGAAGGAGGCTGTGACCCCATGGGAAGCTCACGTTGGAACAGGCTCCTGGCAGGACCTGTGTACCTGTGGAGATAGAGGAGCCCACGCTGGAGCAAGTTTGCTGGCAGGACTTGTGACTCCGTGGGGGACCCACACTGGAGCAGGGGGATGGGGAATGGGGGCTGCAGTCAGTCCATAACACTTCCCTGCCCTTCCTTCCTCCTAACTAGTTCATGGAGGACTGTCTCCTGTGGGAGGGACCCCACGTTGGAGCAGGGGAAGAGTGTGAGGAGTCCTCCCCCTGAGGAGGAAGGAGCAGCAGAGACAACATGTGATGAACTGACCCCAACCCCTATTCCCTGTCCCTCTGTGCCGCTGGACGGGAGGAGGTAGAGAAAATCGGGAGTAAAGTTAAACCTGAGAAGAAGGGAGGGGTACGGGGAAGGCGTTTTTAAGATTTGGTTCTGTTTCTCATTATCCTACTCTGATTTGATTGGTAATAAATTAAATTAATTCTTGTTCCCAGGTCGAGTCTGTTTTGCCCGTGACGGTAATCGGTGAGTGATCTCTCCCTGTCCTTATCTCGACCCACGAGCTTTTCATTATATTTTTCTCTCCCCTGTCCAGCTGAGGAAGGAGAGTGATAGAGCAGCTTTGGAGGGACCCTGGAATCCAGCCAAGGTCAACCCATCACAACAAGGGAGGGCCTCATGGAAAACTTCTACTGTGGGCTAATAGCACATTTAGGTTTTGTAGAGGTTGGAGAGTTAAAGCAGTGCCCTTGGAGCAATTCCATGACCCATAAGGAAGTATTGGCTGTGTTTCCCTATTGCTCCTATTTTTTTTCTTTCTTCTTAGCCATCACCTATTTGTAGTACAGCATCTTTTTTTCTTTCCCTGCTCCTCTAACATCTGTCACAAAGTCACGCCTTCAAAATAGTCAGCTTTTAAAAACATATTCATTTTCTATCTCCCTTTCTGCCCTCTCTCCCCAGTCTCTCTAATTCTTCAGATAATTCTTCAGTTAATTCTTCAGCTAATTCTGAATTCAGGTAAGTGCCAGGGCAGTTTCTCATGCCTTGAGAACAGCAAGCAATGCCCTGAAGTACTTTCTGCAAGATGAAAAAGAGAAATCTAGTAACATAACAAACTCCTGCAATCATACAGACAGGAATAGGCAGTCTCTGGATATGATTTTCTTTTGCTCATCAAAATGTGGATTTATTGTTTCTACCTATCAATTTTAGGTGGTGGACTTATTATGGAAATGTACATTCCTGTTACTAGATTTGTTGAGAGTACTTTTTGCTTCACAAAAATCTCATTGTCTTTGACTTACAAAAGCAAGCTGCATACTTCCTATGAAATGAACACATCTCAACAGGTATCATATTTCGCACATTTGCAACCTGAATGTTCTTCATAAACACACACATACACATACACATACATACATGTATGTATTTTATTTTTCAAAAAAATTCTAAATATGCAGATTTTCCCTAGTTTTATCATAATAAGACACTTCTCTGGATTCCTCTGGTGACTTTTTTCCCCAGCTTTGATTCCCATAAAATTTTCTACTAAATACTTGAGTCATCATCACTCAACTCACAGTTTGTCTGATTATCATTCATGCACAAAGCCACGGCAAAAGTCAAAACAAAATAAAACTTTAATCCTTAACTGTTGATAAACAAATGACACAGTATATTACACAGCTGCAACTGCATGTTCAAAGGGCAAATAAAATATAATTTTGTTTCTATTAAGCAGTTATTACTGTTAAGTGAATATTTACTGTTGTGTTAACAGAAATGAATGACGCAGTCCAGCAAACCCAAAAGCTGGGGTGGTAATCATAGCTTACAAAGCACTGTTGTGATTCAAACAACTCTTCTCACCAGATCTTCTTGAAAACCTGTGTGCTTCTGTTCCACTGTACTTCTGAACCTATTTACAGTTTCTTGCATATGCCAAATGTCTTAAATGGGGGGTTCATGTTATTTAAGTCCTAAGATACATGAGTATTTCTTTTACAGGAGTTCCTACATAAATTGCATCTTCTCTATTGGAGTCTGCTTGCTCTTACCTACTCCCTTCATCATTCTGGCTGAGCTGTTTGGGTGGCCACATGGTCAATTGTACGGGCAGCTGATCTAATTGAAGAATAAATTTTCTTTTTTGGTTCCTTCTCCAGTTTACTCATGTTTCCTGTATGGCCATATAAGTACCTGTCCAGCTTACTGAAGGGGACAGGTAAGATGTGAACAGAGAACCAAGAAAGGGGCAGCAGAACAAACTTAAACAGGTTGATCACCAAATGTCTACTCACAGTTCAATGACGCACATTATCTGAATACTTCTTGTCAAGGAACAATAGTTGTGAGAAGTGTGTCAAATATGGCACACTCAAAAATACAGTAGACTATAGTTTGCAGCTGGAGGTTGGTTTTTCATAAGAGTTTTTGTATTGCTTACTATGAATAGCTCATGACATTTCCCAAAGATAATTTCTAACCCAAATGGGAACTTTAGATCTTGGGAAATGATGCTGTTATTTCTTGAAAAACTGAGTGTTTCTTATAGAGTCAGTTCTCAAAAAAATGACTTGAATTAGAAACTTCTTGTCGGTTCTATTTATTGGTCCCAGATGAGTTCCAATGCACTGGAGTAACGTTTGATGTGTAAGCAGTCCTGTTATTACAACTTGCAAAGAAACCATCAGGCCTTACTTGGCTTGACAGAACACACCTGATGGGATCTGGAGACTTAATAAACAAAACAGTTGTGGTGGAAAAGCTCCGCAAATGGAGTCTTGGAGACCATACATGCAGCTTACACAACTCAGCAACAGAGAAGATAAAGGCTCCAACATATAAGCTATATACAAATATTTAAATACATCCAGTCTGTGGAATAAATTGTAGATCTGTTAGTGCTGTTGCAAAGTGAGGATTCAGTTGAATGCAAATAGTGCTTTTTGCAAGCACTCCATACCTGCAGAGGAGAAAAAAGGGAGTGGACAGTAGCACACAGTGGATGAAGAGAGAATGCTGTTTATAAGCCTTCACTGCCTGGGCTTGGACAGAAAGGCAAGCTGTGGAGAGGAGGGGCCATTTGCAAGCAGTTTAAGTCAGTGCCTGTAAAAAAGAATGTCAGAAGCTATTTTCCTGACTGGCCTCACATAAGCCAAGGATGACCTGGAGATTTTCATGCTCAGGACAGAAGTCCTGGCTCCTCTCTGTATCCTCAAACACTATTTTTGAACAGTTTTGAACAAGCTCTAATGGCCATAACTCACACAAAGGCTGAAGTGTACCCGCCATTTCAGCAAAGCCACTGAGGCGAAGGGCTCCGGAGCAGAGGATCATGCCGGGGGACCCTTTCTGAAGCAGTAAAACCGTGGTAAAACCCACAAAAAGCAAAAGCACAGGTAGTGAGAAGGTGCCCCAGCCCCCCACCCCAAGCCGGAGGAGGGAGCTCCTGACAAGCGGCAGCTCTGACTCAGCGTGGGCAGGGACAAGAGGGAGGATGACCAAACCTCCTCACTTATAAGAGCAGCCCCCAGGGAGTGCAAGCGACCCGGAGCATGGCGAACAGGGTGGGCAAACAGGGCGTGGCATGTCAGAAGGGCGTGGCACGGCAGTTTGCGCAGGCAGGGCGTGCAGGGAAGGCGAGCGGGCAGGGTGCAGTCCCCCTTCTGGCTCTAAAGGCCAACTCAACTAGTAGTTGTCGCCCTCCCAGAAGAGGATCAGCTATGGTTTCCACTCAGCCGAAAGCCGTCGCCAGAAGGAATGTGGCGACCCAGACGGAGCCCTCACGCAAGCATATGGCTGTCCAGGTCTCCGGCTGCAGGGAGTGCCTGAGCCTGTCAGCTGTACCGGAGGGTAGCAGAGACACCACCTGTGTGCGGTGTGACCAGGTGGATGATCTGTTCAGCCTGGTGGCAGAGCTAAAGGAGGAAGTGGAAAGGTTAAGGAGTATCCAGGAGTGTGAGAGGGAGATACAGATTGGTGGAGCCGCACCCTACCATCCCTGAGGCAAAGGTAGCAGATGGAGGCTCCACGAGAAGCAGAGGATCCCCTGCCCTCTTCCCACCAGGTAGAAAGAGGGGACCTAAGCGACGGGGGGGAATGGAAACAGGTCCCTGCTCGGG